AACAATAAAACTGAAATCACTATATTTTTCTAGGGGTACACCAGAGCAAAAGAGCTCAACTGGTTCCTTCTGAAATTTCTGCTGTGTAACATTATGCAATGCCATATAAAATTGGGTGATGGAAGCCCATAAAAAGTGCCTGAAATTCTCAATACATTCTACATCTATAGGCTTAAATAAATCCATTTTGAGGACTCCATCATACCTACCACACATGAATTTTTTTTACAGCTACAAATGTGATAGCTCATGCTTTTGCTTCCTCACAGTATATAGCTCCTCCATGAACAGAAAGCATTTAGTGAACAGAAATGTAGACAAGCTCTAATTTTCTGTACAGTGGCAATGGCACCCAGTATGTGTCAGTGTCACTTTGCTCTGAAAGAGTTAACTTTCTAGCTCCTATTCTCTGCAGTGCTGCATAAACACTGCACATTATTCTTACTGAGCATGCTTCATCTTTCCTGTCTCCACAGTCTTGGGCTGTCAATCACCTGTCAGTCCCTACCACATCAGCACAGTGCGCATCACCAGGCTGTCAGCACAGCAGCTGATGAGACTCTGCTAAGAGCTGTCAATCAAACTTGTTTCTCTTATCTGTTCAGGAAATATTTTGTCTCTAAGAAACAAAGAACCTGGGCAACAATGGATCAGAGTCTAGTATTTACTCTTTTACAGGGATAGAAGGCTCTTAACAGGAAACGAATGTGTTTTATCCATAACCAGGAAAAAAAAATCTGGTCCATTAAGCATATTTTCCTTTTTGGTTTTGTTTAAATCCTATTTACTTCTTGGCCCAATAAATCAGGGCATAACAAATTAAACCAAATTTTTTTTTGCTCTCACTGTAAAATGAATTTCATGGGTTTACTTCTTAAGTTTCTATTGAATATAATTCAATGCAGTTTAAAACAGGTAGCATCTCTTTGGTTTTGGGAATCTTTCCCTGTCTTTAGGCATTGGAATGTGTGATCTTTCTCTCTGTCTCACTGTAGCCAAAAAGCTAGACTAGAGAAAACACGCATAATTTACACCTCTGTTACATTAAAATATATCTTTATTTTCTGTAGTGTTTCTCATTAAAACTCAATTTCAACATATAATTTAATAACATGAGTAGGGTTCATAGATAATAGCAGACCGAAAGAACAGCTGAGGGGTATAAGCAAGCAGGACAAAAACATACATTTTCAGTGGACGTTTGAAAGAAGATAGTATCTTCTTTCTGGAATGCTGTACCGGGGAGGAAGAATTGCACAAGGTAAAGTTCTTGCATTTACAGAAATAAAATACTGAAGAAAGACAAAAAGAGCTGCAAGGATGGGCACAGCAGTGATTTCAGGTCTGACACAGAATCTCTGCATGAAAAGTTGAGCTGGGCTTTCAAGTGCACATCTATCTGAGGCAGAATAATGTTCTGCAAAGATAACTGGTCTAGGTCTAACAAACCTGGCAATCAAATTAATTAGCAGTGGTGGATCACTGAACTAACAGACCTCTACTCTTCCCAGGGCATAAGCATCTTTACATGCTGTGCTATACAGATATACAGGCACGTTTAAAGCTTGCTCGAGTATCAGTACATAGTGCTGTTTCATGCCAAGTAAAGTAAACATAACCCAGTGACTTAAAATCCCCGCTTTGACCCATGTCTATTTTTCCCTACAAATTAAAGAATCTCAGAGCTGATAGTTGAGGAGAAACCTTGCAGACCCAACAGTGAGAGTAGCAAAGGGAAGAAAAACACTTTTCTCGGTGTAGAGAGGTGTGCTGTAAGACACGATAATGTGAAAGGCAGGCCTAAAAATATTTGGTGTTTTTCATAAAGCTTCAGTCTGGGGCCATGAAATTAAATGAACAGCTTAGTTTTCTGAGACCAAAAAAAGTGAGTTTACAACCCTTACAGTTTCTTGGACAGAGCTGTATATTAAAAGTTAAAAGAAACAGGAGGCAAGTAAAAGTAGTATTTTTTTTAAATCTTGTAACACTTACACAAACAATGATTTACAGGCCTGATTCACGTGCTCTGAACAGTTGCATTGGCTGTGGGATTGGACTGTCCAGGTAAGAGCAGAGGGCAGAGGGAGCCAGCTGGAAAAAAGGCTGCGGTAGAAAACCCATGGAAAGGAGAAGTTTAAAGCAAGCAGGGAAAAGAAGCCCCTAGAGGGGTTTGGGGACTACAGTCAAGATTAGAGAAGAGCAGAAGAGAATATGCAAGTTCCCAGCAGCCTCCCAAAACACTCTTGGGGGCTTTGAAGATGGAACCTGGGGCAAAACACCGTGCTCCTCCTCGTCTCCAGCGGTTTAAGGCAAGATCCGGATAGTCCCTGAGAACAAGGAGGGAAAAGGATTGGGGATTGCCATAATGCAGAGAAAAATTGTGGCCATGGATAACAAAAAACTATTTGTCCTTCCACACACACACACCCCCACAAGATTTTTTCTGGAATTTGTTTGCTCCAGAAGAGAATATTTTATTGCCCAAAAGAGGGAAACCATTGCCTAAAGGAAAGCAAATGAGGTGGCAGCCACAACCAATGTCAGAGATGTAAGCAAATCTCTCACAGGCTGAAGCAAGACAAAGGCAGGCAATTTTGAGCTGAATCCTGGAGCAAAGGCAAGAGGTTGGCATCTTTCATCACTTTCAACTCTATAAATGACTTCTCAAAGGATGCCTATTTCTCTTTCCTAGGGCCTAATCTTGGTTCCCTCCATTATTGGTTGTGCCTGCAAGAGCAAGAACAAACAATTTGTCTTTTCTCTTCTCTCGCCAGCTCCGATGTTTTTAATGCCCACTACATACCGAAGAGCATGGACGCTGGGTGGGGAGGCAGATGTCTCGCTGGGGACAGTGTGGATGAAGACCATGCACTTTTGTTTCATCTCTTCCAAAACTCCACGCTTGGTGCTGCCGCCACTCAGCATACTCTGGCTCATCTAACAGGAGCCCCTGCCCACTGGCCAGCGATTTCACCGGTCACTTGAAATAAATGTACTGGGTGACATTATGGTCTTTGGGAGATGCCAAGACCCCCCATAGTCATAACGGAGCAGGCACGCAGCTTGGGTGCGCAAAACGGAGACCTCGATCAGATCTCTGTGCTCAGCAAGGACTGCTACAGGTAGAAGCAATTTTCTGCTAATGTTTGCACCCAAAGGGGAGCAGACTGCTCTGTTCTCAACTCCTGGATATGTTTTTGGACACAAACTTCCCTGGTAGGAAGAGAGTTGCTCTTAACACACAACCTCCACTCTGCGCCCTCCCCAGGCAATGCTGGAGGTGTCCCCGAGCAGGGACTGGGACAACCTGACACCCCCAAGGCTGCTCTCAAAGCCTGCTCAGATGGCAATGGAAGTCCCAGACTGGAACAGCTCAAGCATGCACTTTAGAGTATCACTAAACAAGAATACTGCTCATGTCAGAAAGAATCACTAATACTGTAGTTCAGAATTACGTAAATATTTACTAATGAAGGAAGGGAAGCGTGAATGAACAGAAAGAGCCTTATATGCTGAGCTTTGATTCCAGATGCTGAGAATAATGGCACCAAAAGCAACAACAGTTTGTGCAGAGGTCAGAAATTAAAGCCAGAGGAAAAATCCTGTGTACTAGTGGCTTTTAAAAACATGCCCACAGTAATTTGATCTTTCAATCACACTTATCAGCAACAATGCTAAGAATCACAGTATTGCCCCGTACCAAACTGTCCCAGCTACAGATAGCACAACCATTATCAAGCATTTGTGACAACAGGAATATTTTACTCTTTGACAAATTCTTTCATATGCAGCACTGTTTTCCAGAAACACAACTCCCTCTGATCTAACTGGACATTAATTGCTTTTTTGCTGATATATCTGTGCCTTCTGGACTGATAACACAACTAGCAAATCTGATATATGACAAGTTGACTCAACCTAATCAGGACAGATCAGCTGTTACCAACGTTGCTATAGGCTGTAATTTGAGGACCTTTACAGAGTTATCACTTGCTTTGAAAGGCAAGAAACTGTAATTCTGTCAACACTAATCCCAGAACGTGCGTTCAAAGTGGCTGTTATTTTTTCTCCAGGAGAAGGTAACACTTGTCAAATAAATACCTGAGATAATTGATAAAAGGAATTAGAAGTATGTGAGTGATATGCTGACAATCAGTCACTCTCACAAAAAAGAACCTCGCAAGATTCAGAACATTAAGCAGAGAGCACAAGCTGCCACCGTGAAGCAGGGGTCACTCTGAATGGAGTGAAACAATTGGCAATGCGGTTTTTCAATGTTTACTTATCTCTCTGTTGCCTAGTGCTAAAGCTGAGTGAATTAATCACTTCAAACAATTTGTTCGATGAATTTTACCCCTTTTTCTTGCTCAGCGTATGCAGGCAATGGATACCAATGCCATCAGATTTATTCACTGCTTCACTTTTATTCGAGCTTTCATTTAGTGCTTGATTGAGAGTATTCTAGACTTCCACTGCTGTTCAGACAATATCCAGGGCAGGTCCTTAATGTGTGCAAACAGCATAGATCTGCGCAGCTGATAGAATAATGATTATCTACACCAGCAAGGATATAGCTTGTGGTATTTTTTTTCTGATCCCTGTTTAAATGTGGAAGGCCTTCCAGCAACAATACTGAAATTTGCTACAAAGTTCCCTTTCTGTGAACAATTTTGCCCACAAGACTCAACACTCGAATGTTTGCGGAAACCAAATTAACAAAGAGTGCAAGCACAGCCAAAGCAAATTAATTTAAAAAATCCAAAGATTATATTGTATTATTTGCCCTACTTCACTAGGAAATAATTTATTTTCATGTAATAAAATTCAGAGGAATTCCACAAAAAAATGGATTCCCAACCCATGCAATTCTTTAATGGAATTTGATTATCACTGAATACAAACAAGTGAGTTTGTCATTGCCAGGGTTGCATCTGCCTCTTACAGATAAACTGTGTTTAGAAACTCAGGCTTAAAATTAGGACAAAAAATACATCTCTTACTGTATCGCTTTGGTCCATCTTCCAAACAAAATGAAAGGGTTAAGGTTGCATCATCTTCAAAAAATTCAGTTGCAAAGGCATCCCACCAGAGGTTGTCACTATCCTAGGAAGCAACAGATCATTCACTTAACAGAAGGCAAAATGAAAATATGTTCATTCTTTGTAAAAGAAATTCAACAGGATCACACATAGTTTGCGCTTCTTCACCTATGATTTTGGGGTGTAGATGGCTATATGATATTTCAAACTAATTTTCCTAGATAAAGTTCTAGTTTTAACTTAAGAAAAAAGCTAAAATATTTAGTTTATTATACAATAAACTGTCTTTCATTTTGTCAAGCAGACTAAAGATGTAAAAACTTTCATTCTCATAAATAATGTTTTTCTTTATATGTTAAAAATTGTTTTATAAATCAGTTGCAAATAAAGTGATTATGACTTCCCCCCCCCCCTTTTCTGGGCTGTGTATCTCAAATGCTTGGTCCTAATAACGAAAAAACCTCAGTACTTAATTCCATAATGCTACATAACCTGATTATCAGCATGAGTTGACAAGAAAGTTATTTAGAAACTAAATATAATAGCCATTCCACTCCAATGCATTTAATATAAATACAATGCTACAGCAGGTTAATTAAATACCAGCTAGTTACTTAAATGTAATTGTTGTGAGAAATCTTTACTTTTCTGTGTGATACATGAAGTGAAAACAATATTTTAAGATGACCTGTGTATACTTAGACTTACAGTAATACACATAGCTGGAACATAGCAATTATTAATAGCGTACTATGTAAAGCATATACCAATACACCACTACAGGTGGTCTGTTGGCTTTGACAATTGAACCAGGCATTTTCAGACCTGGGTGATCAACAACAGGCACCCAGACCTCAATGTCTAGCACCTGTGCAAGTGGTCCAGCTTGCAAGGGTTTTCACAGAAGTCAGGCAACAACAGAATCCCCCAACTGTTTCATTCAAAAGCTATGGATATATTTAATGGCTGGATTTGAAATGTTTGGTGCAGTCTCTTCTGCTCTGTTGAGGCCCTGAGATTTAAATCACTTGCAGCACACAGGATCAGCAACAAAGCTGGAAATACACTTCCAAAGATGCCCCAGTAGGACTCCTCAGACCCACTCTATCCCACTCACAGCAGCTGCCTTCCCAGCGTGCAAGCCCAGGTTCATTCAGCACACAGAGCACCGCCTACCTCTTCATGACTGAGCAATATGTAACTAAGCCAGAAAACATTTGTTACCTTCACAGGAGAAAAAACACCCGAGATAAAATGCCGATTCAAGACAAAACATGCATCTATCATGCTCATTATATGTACGCATGCAGAGAAATAACTATCTGGGTTTTTTAGTTCTGCTCCTGTTTTCCCTGAAGATGTTACTATTGGATTTCACTCCAAACTGCTGAGCAGGGTAGCTCTCCTGCCTCACAACTTTACTTTGATTTTTGCCAAGCATCCAATGGAGAAATGGTAAGGACGGGTTTTAGCATTCTGGATCCTACCAGAGACCCCCGAGAGACTTCTTGGCTGGGTCAGAGCCTGTAATTCATCTCCCTTACCAAGGCTCATCCCGCCCGGCAGCAGCAGGACAATGAGCGACACGGCCCTGTGGCACTTGCTTAAAATTCAGTCACACAAAGAGGTATCAAAACCATCCCCACGTCTTAGAAATCTGTTGTCACAGAGAGCTGCTGCTCTTTCCTCTTTGCTGGTGTAAACCTGATGAGTGTTTCCACATGCAAACATCGCTGCATTGACTAGCCAAGTAGCCACAAGGGTAAGTACAGAATATATATACAGGGGTTCAACAGAAGCCCAGCAACCAGCTTCTAGCAACATCCCTCTGCGCACCAACCCTTCACTTGGGACAGTGTGGTACGTGACATTATAAGCCCATACGAGAGTGTATTGTCCAACGAGTAATTACAAGCTATCACTCTCTGCCATTTGCCAAAAGAGAGACTGCAGTATCGTTTAACTGGGATCTTTCAGACACACTTGTCAGAGAAGGAAGAGGGGAGGGAAGGATTTAAGCAATGTCACATCCCACATTTGCAGCACTTGTTAACTCAGTAGCTGAGTATCACTGGAGCTACTCATACAGCATCCAACAACACGGGAGGCAAAAGGGGAGCATCGCATAGCTGGGATGCAAATGCACACAGGAAGGACAGAGAAGAGCAGGGAAAGTGCAGGGCCTCACCTCAAAACTACACATATTTGCACTCACTCTTGCTTCCAAGAAGTCTGAATGCAAGGAAAACATGGAGATGGAATTACGGTGGATTCCCTCCCCGGATAGATGAAATATCCAGACTCTGTCACAGTTTGAATACTGTCCAAGGTCTTTATCTTACGCTTTTGCATACTTTATGTCAAGAAGAAGGAAAAACAGAAAATGCAACACCCCACCCCCACCCACAAAAATAACCCCAAACCTTAATAGAATATATAAATCCTCTGTCAAGCTTGAATATGCTCTGCTGATTAATTCTCTGCTCCACCCTTGTCACAGGTGGGCCCAACTACTCTCACAGCCAAATGGTGAATAAAACCAAATGAGGTGTCCCCTAGCCAAGCTGAAAAAGGATCCAGTTATTACAAAAAAAAAAAAAAAGAAGAATAAAATCACCCCCTTTTTCTTGCAAAGAGGAGATGGTGAAGGCAAGGCTGCCCCCAGGCATCTTTAACTTATGCTCTGACAGGTTACGGGGGATTTTGCCAGAGTAATTATTTTTCTATTCAACAATAATGAGAAATTACCATGGCAACCTCTCTTTCACGTAGTGCACTCACACGCTCAAACATTGAAATAATGGCCTAAACATGACAAAAAAAAATTAATACTTTAAAAATATTTTGTATTAAAATAAACTTAAGGAATGGGTCAAAGGAGAGAGACAGTCAGCGAGTTGGGTCAGAAGTGAAGATGCCATGCTGCTGTAGCCAGCTACCCAAGCAGCAAAACGTCCTCTGCCACAACTGTCATTGTTCCCTCTGATCCCCTCCACCCCTGGTATTATTTGTAATTTGAAGCATGGCTCAACTCTGAATAGGGTCTCCAAGTAAATGGAATCCTAGGGTTTCAATATTTTTTCCTGACTCTGATTTCTTTGGCAAATGTAATCAGATTTTAAGTACAATGATGTTCTTTTTCCCCCTCCATCTAATAGTCCCACATGTTCACTGTGTGATCTGAGAGTCAAGCTGGGTTCTTCTTTACACCTTACACACTTACATGATTAAGAGTCTGCAAGCCAAATGAGGCTTTTCTACTTGCCTGTGATGGTGATTGCTGAACCAAAATAGATCTTGCAACTGGAATATAAGGCCAATTGAACCTAAGGCATTTTCTCCAAATTCCTTTATTTTTGTTTAATGACTTGGAAGGCAGAATGGAGCTCATGTAAAAAGTCAGTACATGAAACCACGCCCGAGAGAGGATGCAGATACCTTGCAGGACAGAATTGGAATTCAAAATGATTTTGATAGATCGCAGAAATTATCAGAAATGAAGATGAAATTCAATAAAGTGTCAAAAGCACAAATACAAAATGGGGAATAACTGGCTAAGCAGTACTGTAGAAAATGGTCCAAATCATGAAGCAAATATGTCAGCAATCTGTTGCTCTTGCAAATAAGGGAAATGTCTTAGATATATTTCCCTTCCACTCCAGCAAACACATCTCTGGAAAGATTTCAGCTGGAATAGTCCGTCCACTTCTGGAGTACTGTGGCCAGGTCTGGGCCACCCACTCTTAAAGAATTTAGCTGAGAACAACAGGAATCATTGAGTTTAAAGACACAAGCAAACAAACAAACCAACCCCGAAAGACTCATAGGAAGCAAGGCAGAAGGACCTAGCTGTGTTTAGTATAAGACAGAAGAAGCTCACAGGGAACGTGACAACAGCCTTCAAACATATGAAAAGATTGCTCTAAAGAAGAGCGATCACTTGTCCTCAGTGGCTAACAACAATAGAAGAATTAATAATTGACTCAGTTTGCTGCCATTGCAGGTTAAGTGGTTTAATCCCCTGTTACAGGTTTCTAGGCTAGTGTTTTGCAGAGAGGAAAGAGCCGCAGAGCACGGCTACCGTGTTCCCAGGAAGAGTGGATGCAGAGGTCCCACTGCCTATGAGCCTTGGGCAGAGCTGCCCCATCATGGCAGCTCCATGGCTTGTACCTGGCGAGAAGCAGATTTTTGTTTTTTCCCTCAAATCACTTTTTGGCTGCACATGTATAACAGGTGTAAATAGTATATTGAAAAGAGAGTCATGGAAACAAATAAATGCGATTCTGAATACACACAGGAAACACATCAGTTCTGAAACAGGCCTTTTTTTTTTTTATATAATCACTTTTCAGGGAAGAACTGAATTTTAAACGTCAACCTATGTGGCTTGGCATTGGACAAGGCAAAAATAAAAAGAGATAGTGCCCTTGGGAGCTTACATTTTTCTTCTGGCACCGGCAACCCTTCCCTATTGACACTTACTATTTTCAGAACTCTATACGTCCACACTCCCATTGGCAACATACGCGCTTCTCATATTCTTTCAAGTTAATGCTGCGCGAGGAAACGGCTGTCTCCCTAAGGAGAGAATGGTATTCCTCCCCTCCTCCCGTTCCCAGAAAATCAAACTACACTTGAGCTTTTAAAATGCAGTTCAAGATAAGATTTTGCCATTAAATACACCTGTAAAAACTGCACAGCCATTACAAATTATGAAACTCACAAGATAAGTATCATAAAAAAATTCTGACACTAATGTTTATACTCAGAGCACACTGACAGACCATTAAAAATAAAATGCCTGAATGCAAGAAACCAATAACTTTGCCCATTAGCTTTAAATTAGACCTGTCTTGAGTCTACCCAACATATTTAAGGTTCTGATATAAATTTCACAGGAGTAACAAATTAACAGGGATCAATATATCTTAATTTTAGACATTTGGACATTTGAGTACTGATCTATAGGTCTGGGCCTGCAATGCAGAATGTTTTTATGATCTCGCATAGGGGGTTTTTTGCTATTTATATATATTCTATATGGAATACTGATATTCTGAGTCT